CTCGCAAAATTCACAAAAATAAAATTAAATCAGTTCAGACTTATGAAAAACTATCAGTTCAGTAGCAAATTTCGCCAGACTTTCTGGCTTAATAGAGGGAAGCGTCGTGCTAATGCCTCCTACACCATAGCCTCATAGACTAACACTAAGATCAAGGGGTCCCGAAGAAACTTGCTAAATTTCTTGGCTCAGGAAGTATCAGATCTTCGGTTCCAAGCTAATTGAAGCACCTCTCGAAACGTGCACGGTAAGAAAAAAGTACCCAAAATTGAGTTCCTTTCACTCATCACGTGGCTTCCGTGGGGCTAGGTAAAATTAAGTTAAATAAGAAAACTCAATTTTGAGTAATCCTGAAGTTGACAAAAAAATAATAAAACGGAGCAGACTGGAACCGAACCATGGACGTTGAGCTTACGGGGCCCGTGTGTTGACCACTCGTCTATCAACGCTTGTGAAAATGAAATGGTTAAAGTCGCATAAGAGCAACCTCAATTAAAATAAACTTATATTTGAGTTTATTTATTATTACTCAATAGTTGAGTAAATTTTAACCAACGCCGCTTTTCTGATTTACTCAACGGCGGACCTTAAATGATAGAACCCAACGTTGAGTATTTTTTAACTTAATTTTGAGTATTTTTTTCTTGCCGTGTACGTTACGTTCGGCCAGCAGATGGAAATGATGTGAAAATAATAATGACGTTTTGCTAACTGTCAAATCGTATGGAATATTTTTTAGTACATCCTCCCTTTTGTGGTTTTGGATTTCAAACCTAGGTGTCGTATGCACTGGTGCAGTTTCGCGTAGATTCATCAATAAATTTAGGACAGCACCATGAGCTTCAGGAAAGTTTTAAGTTTGTGGAAATTTCAGGGAAGTCCAGAGAATTGCAGTTATTTTCATGGATGTTCCGAGTATTTCGAGCTTTCAAGAAGTGCTGAGAAATTATTGGCGTCTTGCAGTGAAACTTTTCTAAACTTTCGCCACCTACATTTCGAAGTGAGAACTACTAGAAGGAGGATAGTTTCCAAATATTCCAAGTAAAACAGACGCTTTTTAGGGCAAATCGGTCCACAAAGAAAAACTAATAATTTCCCGTGGAAACTTTTGCTTGAATCGTGTAAGAAAACGTGTTTGAAAACTATTTGTTATTATGGTATGAATCGGAGATGTTTTCATGGCAAATTATGCATAACAAGTTTGCACCCACAGGGAGAGGTTACTTCCTGCGCAGCTGCATTTTTCGGAAAATGGTGAATATGTGCGATTTTCACTAGGATGAAAGTGGAAATTAAGTGAATTTACTTAGGAAATGTTGTATCATGCTGATGGTAATAGCAACAATCAATACGAAACTAACGATTTTAAATTGGCTCACCACTTTAGTAGCATAGAGGTAACTCTAAGACCAGTGGGTCCCGAAGAAGATCATTATTATTTTTGGCTCACTCAGTACCAGAACAACGGTCCCAAGCAGTCCCAAGCTATTTCACTCACCCCTGCATGTTCTGCATGAATCCACACACCCCTGATGTTATCTGTCAAACTTTCATAGCGAATCAAAACAAACATAGTGTAGTAATAGAATTTCAACTAGAATAGAGTACGTTAATCGTTTGCTTGGGACCAATAGGCTACTGCAAATTTTCACGAATTTTATATGCAGCAGACTGCATTATCATCATCATGCACTGGCGACATCTGCGTTGAGCGTTTGCGGCAATCTTTCAATAGAATATTTCGAGAATTTCAGAAATGGTCAAAAAATTTCTAGAAAACTGTGAAGTCTTCAGAGAATGGCTTCAGAGAAGTTCCATGCATATCAGAAAAATTGTTCGAACGAAAGACAAGTTCCGAGAATTTCATGTAAATTTAGGGAACTTATTAAAAGAATAAAAACTCCCGGCAAGTGCTGGATAGCTAAAGGAATTTTAGATATTTGAAAGGAAGTTTTATGAGCTTAAAGGCAGCTTGTATAATGGGAACCTTTAAAAAGTTCTGAGAAATTCAGGGAAGCCTAGAGATTTTTGGTAAACAGTAGAGATCTTTAGAACAGTTTCATTCACTTCAGGAAAGCACCGAAAACTCCAGAAAAGTGTAGACTAACGAGAAATTTAAAATAATTCCTACTTCTGTTTCAGGTTTTCTGCCTTTAAGAAAAAGTGCTGATTACAGTTTTATTATCGTCATCGTTTTGATCCAGGGGATAAGCTATGAGATCTTCATCAGAATAATTTTAGATTAAGCTCGTAAAATCTTTGCGCTGAACAAAATACGGCACAACTTTATGTCCCCTGATAAAGGCGTCCAAAGACAGCGACGTTTTAAATGAAACATCGTAGCGTTTGGACAAATTTAACCCGTAGCCTACTTTTAGATAGAGGGAGCTAAATTGTGAGTAAATAACCAAATTAACATTGAGGGGGTTAGAAGGAAAGGGGTGCAAGTGACTTTGATCGATTCTTTTCATCGACTTTCTCTTTCATTAATAATTCAGCTGAAAACAAATTCCTTGATTTGTGTGCTATTCTGGATGCTAGATGAGAACCTCCTTTATCAAACTATGTGGCAGAAATAGCGCAAATCTGTTTATAAAGCTGTGGATATCAAAAGAGAAAGTCGATGAAGAGAATCGATCAAAGTCACTTACACCCCTTTCCTTCTAACCCCCTCAATCATGGTAGCTCCTTAATGGGTTGTTTACATCTGGGCGGATATGCTAGCACTAGTGTACTAGCCAACTAGCACGAATTTCAGTTACTCCTGAAATCTCATGCTGGTAGACGCTGATACCCTGTTTACATTATGCTAGTGAGCTTTTTTGCTAGCAGCTGGCTCATTAGTGCTAGTGAAATAGCATAAGTGTAAACACCCCATAAAGGGACGGTTGCTTGAGTTAATTGGAGAACTGATCGGAACGATGGGGAATGACGTTAACCAAGCTGCTTATCGGCACATAACACAAATCGAACAGATTTATAGCCTAGATTTCTAGAACGTTGAGTTCAGCGCTGCTCGAGATTTAAGTTGCGACCAGTTTTGGTAACATTTCCGATACTGAACTCAGTCTGGAACTCGGCGAGAAGGTTGAGGTCGCCACCAGAAGCTGTGACTGCAGATTCTTTCGTCGGTTGAATGGGTGGCTGTCCGATGCTGATCCATGTCTCTTCTGAGATGATGGCGATGTCGGACGCTGAGTCGTGTTGAGGTTTGACTGCTCGACCGGGATGAACTTCCGCTTGCTTCCCATGTTGCGAACTGGGTATATGCTTTTCGTCTTCACGTTTTCCTTGGGTTTCGTTTGCTTGAATGGTTTCGAAGATGCCGGTTTGTTGCTAGAACAGTATAATTCCTTGTGTCCTTTTTGCTTGTATCTGGAACAGGTGTGCGAAGCGAACGAAAATTCTCGAACTGGTCGCCACACTTCCAAAATGGCGTTTCCGATACTTTTTGGTTCTTCTTAGTAGGAGGATTATTCTGATTGCGAGATACAAAGTTGATGTTGCGTGCTTCTTTGTTCTCCACCATCAGTGTGTCCTGCTTGAGATTGGTCACGCGATGGCATTCTTCCACGAGGTTCTCCAGGGTTACCTTGCTGGTGGCTTCTCCCAATTCGTTGACTGCGGTTTCAAATTGTTATATCCGTAACCAAGGCCAACAAGTAAAACTAGTATTGTTGGGAGCTACCCTTATTACGAGTGTCACTTCACGGTGAAAACGAAGGGAAGTGATCAGTTGTCACTCACGGTGAAGTAATTTCCGTGCAAATCAAATGGGAATCACTTCACCGTGAGTGATAAGTTGTCACCTCACCGTGAAGTGACAGCGGTAATAAGGGCCTATTACGTCTAACTTGGTTGGTGGTTGCAATACTAATCAATCTTTCTGCTATAATTTAGGCAGGGCCTACGATCAAGACATATAAGCTTTGTCTTAGAAAAGTTAACAAAATCTGGCTCAAAGATGAACAACAAGTCTGATGTCATCTACTAATCAGTGCTAGTAAAACCAGGGAGCTATTACTGATGAAACGTGTTTGTTAATTTTCCCATTCATTCAGGATAGAACTTAGTATCCAAACGTCCAATGCCATAGAACCAGAACATCAGAAGTGAAGGCATCTTTAGTTCAATCATAAAATAAGTGATATGACAGCACACATTACACAAATTATTACATAACCTGTTCATTTCGTTTCGAAGAAAAACACATTTCTAAACGAAGAGTGTCATAATCCTTCGAAAAAGTAACCTCATTTCACTGATTCAAACTGCATAGCTCAGCGTCAGTCCTGCGAATCAGTTATTGTACAAACCGAAGGCAAAAACCTCTGAGACCTTCAGACCTTGGAAGATGAAAAATTCGAGAAAACTAGGCACTTCCAAACATACCTTCAGCACCCGGTGACATCGTTCGCAAAAACATTTCACACTTTGTTGAGCATTAATAATGCCTCAAAACTACCATGGTACTGGTGATGATGGCAGCTTACAAGCTGGTGTGGATACGCTCTTCCCGCCCTTCTCCGTTTTGATAATCATGTTCAATTAGGTTTGCAGTATTAAGCAGTAGGTACCGACTAACATTCCTACTAGACTCTCTCCGGCCGTGACGATTCTTACACAGATATGACTGTGCTACAGAAGACCCATCATCACTGAAAATAGCCCTAATCGTTTCCTAGTCCAATTTTCCACTTTGCACCCCAGGAGGAAGGTTGACGCCACCGTCCAACGAAGCGTGGTGCTTATTCCGTTCTCAGACAACGTGCTGCGGAGAAAAATCCTCAAGCAAACGGTTCGCCGCTTGCTTGGTGAGGTTATGAAAATTTCCCGATCGTTGATTTTCCTAATGTCGGTATAAAATGTGACTTCCACCTGGGGACATCGTCAGAGTACGATCGCGTTCGTTCCGGGTAACAACGTAGTATTTGAAATCACCGTCGTGAGGAACAATCTTTAGGTTTAGAAAAATCAAGTGTTGGAACTTTTCTACTAAAATGAAACAATTCAATAACCCGATTGCGGTGGCAGTTGTGCTGATTAGTGTTTTGAGCCGGCATGTGAAGTGTCTTCCGAGTTCGAAATCGGGTTCGTTGTCGTCCAGTTCGTCCGGTTCGTCCAGTTCGTCGGACGGATCGCAACCATTGAAGGATTTGAAACCCGATGGAACGAGCTTCTGGAGTCCGCAGCCGGAGTACTACCACGAACGGGATCGCTACAGCGGCAATCGCCCGTCCGATTTCGTAACGTCGTATGGCAGTTTCGAGAACAAGTATGGCGGAAGTTCATCGCCATCATCCTCGTCGTCGTACGGCAACAAGGATCGACTGGGTGGATTCAGTAAGAGAATTCGTTCCGTGGTGTATCAAAGTGTATTTTACGAAAATTTTTCCGGATGAGTGGTTTGAATATTCCATAAACTTAAGTTGCTATCATGTGGAATGAGTCAGTTTGATTTGTGATGACTCTGTGGTCTGGAGTAACAATCAGAAAATGTTCTAATGAAAACTATGTCTAAAGTGAGGTTTATAGTGTCAAGTGTGGATAACTTAATCTTAGTGTACACAGCAATTTTAAGATCGTGAAATCCTAGTTTTAACACTTCAGTTCTGTGCGATTCTTAATAGCATTTCATCGGAATCCCGTACAATTTATGCGTTGCGTTGAAGCATACCTATTCAACGCGCCACACCCATACATATGATCAGCCTAAAAAGAGACTCTCAACTAAACTTGAAGTCATTGGTTCGGAATTGGTCACTAAATTACGGTGAAATGTTAATAGTGTTTTTTTAGTAAATTGCCTACATTTAGGCACATTCACATTCTTACTGAAAACAAACCTTGTATAAGGATTTTTGCGCCATGTTCGAGTACAGGGATGCCAGATTTGCAGACATGTCTTCATTTTGAAGACATTTGAAATTCTGTGAAGACGAAGACATTTAAAGTTTTGTGACGACTTTGGAAGACATATCTACAGGGTGGAACGATCAAAAATTAATCAATCATGATTAAGTGCACACTGATTATATTATTGTATAAATAATCAAAATTCATTTCTTTTTGAAGTTCAAAGACTACAAAATACAGGAAAATTATTTGATTGGGCTTCCGGTTTTCCATATGCGAACTGTCGGGCTTTACGTTTCACACCTTCCATCAGATTTTGTACCGCTGTTTTATCAACCTTATTTTATGCTGAACGTCAATTTGCTTTGAACTGTTTCTCATTTCCAACTGTTTTCTGAGTTTACTTGAGGTTTATGCTTAACGATTGCTCAATATGTTTATATTTGGGTGCAGCTCCAGTGATTTTGGATGATTTTTGTCCTAGGGTACGACTTGCATGTTGTTGGCGGTATACCGTTCTTGAACCATTTTCCCGAAGTGACAGGAAGTAAGGTTTTTTTTTCATAAATATCTTAGTTGACAATGCCAGTTGTCACAAAAATTTCGCATTTCAGCCCACAGGTGCTGATCACCTTCCAAACCAAGTATTTTTTCGGGAACTGTGTCAACATTTCCTGCCGTGTAAACTCTTGACCTGGGAGCGGCTTGAAATCCACCTTGACGTATATTTCATCGTTCATTATAACGCAATAAAATTTCAGACGCAATCAATCTGCGTGGGAAAAAATTAGATTTCGCTTATGCGCGAGCAAATCAATGTCAGGGCAATGCCAATTTTATAATTTTGTTTTCTCTTCAACACTTTTTATCTTTCGCTGTTGTAAAATTCAGAGTGGTGCTAGCTCTCTGTACTCATAGGACATTTTCTCAGATACAATTTTGCAGAAGACCATATTTTGATTGTTACCCACATGTTTTCAACGCTTTCCGATTAGTGTTTTATATCTGCTTACAACAATAAATAACATACCTATCTCAATATCGCAGGTCCCTTCAGCACCGGAAGCGGTGGATCTTATTACTCTTCTGGTGGTGTCTTTGATCGGAAACCCTATGGCCCACCTCAACCGGTAGAGTATCCTGCCTATGCTCACGAATACGATGGTGGCCACTACGATAACCATTACAATCAGGGTCATGGATTCAACCTGGGACAGCACTTCGGCGGCGGCGGAAAGGTTGCTTAAATTTGAATTAACTCTATATAACCAATTCGTACTAACTACCCACCATTCGCAGGACATTACCAAATCGATTCTCATCCCGCTGGCCGGAGCTGCCCTACTGGGAATTGCAGCCGCCCTCGTAGCCAATCCCGTCCTACTGCACCTGGGTGCATTTGCTGCGGGCAAACGAAAGCGTCGCGACGTCACGGCCAACTCACACAATCTGGCCTACCGAGCGCATTTGAAGCCAGCTCACCCATTGGCGCCACCGAAAGCGTAAGAAAGGAACCCCACAAGCAAATGCGCACAAAACATTCGACCCGGACGATTAATCGGCTGTAAATGGAAACTTTTTATTGTTAAATGCTAACGCAATCGAAACAATGCCAAATTGCTGCAACTACCTACCTCGTTCGATTGTAGGGAAATAACGATGCGTTTAATGCTTCGTGATGACACACCGCCTATTTAGACAGTGATAGTGCTGACGAGTGTGTTACTTTAGTGCTATTTAGCTTTAATTGGTCCCCTTCGTAGGTTTAAGTAAATGATCTTCTAGTTTGGATAAGTGCAAAGCAAATAAATTTGTGATAACTGATGTCAATTGTTTGTTTCAGTATTGTTAGAATAGATCAAGTTGGTTGGTACAATATATTTTTTTGAAGTAGGATTACGTCTTTCGGTAACATATTGGGGGAGCAATTTCAAAAAACCAAAATCGACCGCGTCACGAAAAGTGGACAGGTTTTGACTACTTATAACTCTGTCAATAGCGGATGGATTTTTTTCTAAACCAGCCAATCGATTGGAAATTTTTCCACGAATCTGCTTAAATGAACACTCTATCAATTTTCAATAGGTCACTATTGAAAATTACACAAATGTCCCAACTGTTGCAATGATGATCAAAAACGAGGCATTTCCGTGATGGGAAAAAGTGGTTTCCCTAACACAGTCGTCGAATATTGATACCGAGCCCGTAATCCTACGTTAAATGTACTGTCGTGTCTTAAATGCAACCTCTTACTTTTTTATTTCAGGAAAAAGGAAGTCATATTTAAAATATAATACCGATGATGCCCCTAATAAACAAATACCATAAACGAACTGTATCCTGAATGGGTAAACTATCCCACAAATGGTTTGGATGATACCCCGAACACGTCGTTAAGCTCTCTTTTATGGTTATTTTTATTAGGGGATATATACGCTCAGATTAAACTAAGGAACAATTTAGAGCCAAACGATTAAAAGGTCCAATGTGTCAATTAATTACCGTAAGGTATCATAATTGTACGAGCTTCATGGAGTTTTGAAAAATAAAAATAGAATATGTGTAATGTGGATATTTTGAATTGAGCTGAGATACCGTAAACTGGGGCAATTGATCACTGTTTAACGTAAATATCGAAATGAATTTCTACAAAAATAAACATTGACCAACTAGTGCTATTAAAACCAGTATCTACGAGGACTCTATCGTTCTACATGGTCACTAATCATATTGGATGTTTAACTTATTTTTAGGAAATGTTTAAAATCTAAAATTTGAAAATATCGATGTGGGGTGAAATTGATCAACCCTTCAAATAGCTACCCGGTGCATTTATAGTAAATGTGGTTTATGAAATTGGGTTCCCTTAATCCGAAACATACGTTAAAATCTTTGGGCCAAACGTATGTTAAGCAAATATACCAAAACAGATTTCATTAAATGTAGGCAATTTCACTCCAAATTTGACGAAACTCCTCTTATTTCATGGCATGGAAACTTTTTTTCTCGTAATATTTATGTTCGTGATCAAGTAATCATCGATTACCATAGCTACCATAGTGATAAATAAATAAATAAATAAATAAATAAATAAATAAATAAATAAATAAATAAATAAATAAATAAATAAATAAATAAATAAATAAACAAATAAATAAATAAATAAATAAATAAATAAATAAATAAATAAAAAAATAAATAAATAAACAAATAAATAAATAAATAAATAAATAAATAAATAAATAAATAAATAAATAAATAAATAAATAAATAACTAACTAACTAACTAACTAACTAACTAACTAACTAACTAACTAACTAACTAACTAACTAACTAACTAACTAACTAACTAACTAACTAACTAACTAACTAACTAACTAACTAACTAACTAACTAACTAACTAACTAACTAACTAACTAACTAACTAACTAACTAACTAACTAACTAACTAACTAACTAACTAACTAACTAACTAACTAACTAACTAACTAACTAACTAACTAACTAACTAACTAACTAACTAACTAACTAACTAACTAACTAACTAACTAACTAACTAACTAACTAACTAACTAACTAACTAACTAACTAACTAACTAACTAACTAACTAACTAACTAACTAACTAACTAACTAACTAACTAACTAACTAACTAACTAACTAACTAACTAACTAACTAACTAACTAACTAACTAACTAACTAACTAACTAACTAACTAACTAACTAACTAACTAACTAACTAACTAACTAACTAACTAACTAACTAACTAACTAACTAACTAACTAACTAACTAACTAACTAACTAACTAACTAACTAACTAACTAACTAACTAACTAACTAACTAACTAACTAACTAACTAACTAACTAACTAACTAACTAACTAACTAACTAACTAACTAACTAACTAACTAACTAACTAACTAACTAACTAACTAACTAACTAACTAACTAACTAACTAACTAACTAACTAACTAACTAACTAACTAACTAACTAACTAACTAACTAACTAACTAACTAACTAACTAACTAACTAACTAACTAACTAACTAACTAACTAACTAACTAACTAACTAACTAACTAACTAACTAACTAACTAACTAACTAACTAACTAACTAACTAACTAAATAAATAAATAAATAAATAAATAAATAAATAAATAAATAAATAAATAAATAAATAAATAAATCAATAAATAAATAAATAAATAAATAAATAAATAAATAAAGAAATAAATAAATAAATAAATAAATAAATAAATAAATTCACGAATATTATAATAAACCAATGGCCAATACTGGTGCATTTCCCCTAGTTATGGTATTTCATTGTGTACCAAAAAGCATGATAAGCTCATTGAATTGACTACTTGATGAGATTTAATTGATGAATCTACGTTACGGTCGGCGAGCAGATGGAAATGATGTGAAAATGATAATGACGTTTTGCTAGCTGTCAAATCGTATGATATTTTTTAGTACATCATCACTTTTGTGGTTTTGGATTTCAAACCTAGGTGTCGCATGCACTGGTGCAGTTTCGCGTAGATTCATCAATAATCATGATGTTTTGGAATAGAATATTGGCGTCTTGCAGTGAAACTTTTCCAAACTTTCGCCTCCTACATTTCGAAGTGAGAACTACTAGAAGGAGGATTGTTTCCAAATTTTCCAAGTAAAACAGACGATTTTTGGGGCAAATCGGTCCATAAAGAAAAACTAATAATTTCTCGTGGAAACTTTTGCTTGAATCGTGTAAGAAAACGTGTTTGAAAACAAATTGTTATTATTTCGGTATGGATCGGAGAGGTTTTCATGGAAAATAATGCATAACAAGTTTGCACCCACAGCGAGAGGTTACCTCCTGCGCAGCTGCATTTTTCGGAAAATGGTGAATATGTGCGATTTCCACTAAGATGAAAGTGGAAATTAAGTTAATTTACTTAGGAAAGGTTGTATCATGCTGGTGGTAATGGAGAATTGGTTGTATAGGACGCCAATGTTCAATAAATTTTCATTTTGGCCTTTTTTAAGCAATCATATTGATACTCACAATTTTCGACGGAAAACGCACCGGAACTTGATTTACTCAACACGCACCATGCTATAAAATGGTGCTAGATGGTCTTCAAAGTGATAATAATATGACAAATCATCTTTATTTTGAGTAATTGAGCAATTTACTTCTGTTTACCATCATATTTACGATGCAGCATTGATGGAGCCGTGAAATGAAATGAATATAACTTATGAAAGTTCACCTGGAAAAGTCAAATATGCACATCAGTCTGATCGTAAAAACGTTTTCTTCTTCAATTCGAATGTTATATTGGAAGGATTTCCCGCAGGCTTGATGAAAATTATGATTTAATGCTAATTTTCACGAATTTTATATGCAGTCTGTCAACATTATCATCATCATGCAGTGGCGACATCTGCATTGAGCTTTTGCGGCAATCTTCCAATTTTCAGGCAGCTTTAAGGGGTTACGCCGAGGGGGACGACTCTATCTACGATGCAAAAAAGATTGTGTTTGCTGTGGCTAGCTGCGCGCACGCTGAGTAGATAGAAAGAAGATTGATGGCGATTCTGAAGATTTCCTGCAAAAAATTGATGAGCGATGCAAGTAGATGCGACAAATGAAAGATGATTGTTCGAAGATTGATTCGCTAGTGTGAGATTTGTTGACCATCTAAACTTGAGATTTAGATGTGTCGCCCCCCTCGGGTTACGCCTACCTGCAAGACCGAAAAAAAGTTTGGATTTTTTTTTTCTCGAAAACGACGCAACATATTGAAAATCGGTTTTCTGCCGTTTATTGAACACACATTACATGGTACATTTATCAGTCGATGCTGTAAAAACGAGGTCCTGGTGCCCCGCACGGCTGCTGCACGTGGACGATGTTCTAAAAAACGCTTTTTGCTGTGCCAACTGCGGTTTGTGATGTAAATCATCTGAAATAAAAAAAAACATGCCAAATCGTTAAGGTGATACTCTAAGGAAGCCTTAGCGTGAAATTTTAAAGGCACAAATGTCAGCTTCCACAAAACATACAAATTTGAAATTGCTACTCCTTGTTTGCTGTGCTACTACAAACAGAGAGTAGCAATTTCAAATTTGTATGTTTTGTGGAAGCTGACATTTGTGCCTTTGATGTTTCACGCTAAGGCTTCCTTAGAGTATCATGTGTTAAACTAGTCCTTGATCGTTCGGTTTTTTTTTTAATTTTTTTGACAAAATGGCGGCCTTGCAAAGTTGAAGTGCCGATTTTTGATCCTTAAAATTTGTCTTTGATCGGCTGGGGGAGAGGTAGCTCATCGATTCTTTCGGTTCGCCTCCTAGCATCGTGCTATAAGGTACCAGACGATAACCAGGGTAGTTGATCGATAGCTCGATGACGTCATTTCGTTGACGTCTGCAATGGGAAATTCTCATAGCAGGCGTTGACGATGGGACGTTGTCGAGTTTTTGAATAGCAACTATCGTGGTAACTCACCGATTACCTGTCGATCTGCCAAATTTGGAAAGACGTCTGCATTGAATTGTC